GGGGGGGGGGTTAAGGGAAAGGGGATGGGCTACCCACTGTTGTGTAGTCCCATGAAGTGAAAAAAAATAAAAATAATTTTTATAAAAATAAAAATATAAAAATCATAAAAAATTTTGATAAACATATTTACTATCATTATCATAAAAAATTATTAGTGCAAAGTACATGCAATCTTACTATACTACTTAAAAAAAATCGAAAACTCAAAAAGTTCTAAGTGCTCCCAATGCATATCCAATATTCCTATACTAGTGATAGGGAGATGTTTCTAATGGATGATTCAATGTGCATGTGGGGCACTTGTAGGGCGTGCTATGTGGGGGAGCCCATGCAATTTGGATTTTGGAGCGAAAATAGGCATGTAACGTGGATAACATTATTCTAGTAGGAGACTTGCCACGTGTTTGAATTATATATTGCATAACCAACCGTCTCAACAGTTTAACAGAATTTAACTTCAACTAATGACTTTTGTGTCGAGGGAAGGGAACAAACTCTAAGCAAAAAAGATATGGAGGGAACTATCAAGCACTTGTTAGTTTAGACAAATAGGTGTCGCAAATTGTCAGAGAAGAAGGAGATAAACTGTAATTGTACAGAAAGGAGGGGGGTTTGTCTAATTTATCCTAAAACTTAAAGCATCAGAGCAGTGAGCAGCACTTCTCAATTCCGGAAAATTGGAAGAGGTGCTTCTTCGAGGGGGAGAGCAGTTCTCAATTCCACTTTCTAGGGTTTTGACGGAGGTCACGTAGCAATGGACGCAGCAGCTCAATCCTCTGACACCGTGATGGCGGAGGCGGCTCCGCCCCCTGAGCCACCTCCACCTGCCGGAGCTCCCCAACCCGGATTTGATAGTATTCCGATGATTTTAAGTCATGGTGGACGATTCATACAATACAACATATTCGGCAACATATTCGAGATCACCTCAAAGTACAAGCCTCCAATAATGCCCATCGGCAAGGGAGCATATGGCATCGTATGGTATCGCGTCTCCTCTCCCATTTCTTCTTCATGACCTCTTCAAATTCTCTGAACATAAAATGTAGAAAGACTACTTTGTCATTATCCATGTATACTTCCTTTCAGCTCGGCCTTGAATTCAGAGACAAACGAGCAAGTTGCAATTAAGAAGATTGCGAATGCATTTGATAACAAAATTGATGCTAAGAGGACTCTTCGCGAGATAAAGCTCCTCCGCCACATGGATCATGAAAACGTTAGTGAGTGATAAATACTATTTGTTCTATTTTTCCTGCTTGCTATCACATTGGTCGAGATTTTGAAATTTGATTTGATTGTGACGAAACTAACTATATTTATAGAGAAATTGCTTTGCCTTGTAATTATGAATCCCTAATATTTGACTCATAATCTACCGTAGGTGTTTTGCTAATCTGTGGTTGTGCTTGTTTTCGTAACAGTCTTTATCTTTGCACTTCATTTTGTAAACAATACTTGGCTGCATTTCTTTTTCTAATGTTACTTAAATACTCTTTATACTCCTTAAATTTAGATACGATCTTCAGCTCCTCTTGTTCTACTACTGTCAATGTGCTTGTTAGGGCTGCAAATGGATTGGAGAATGGGCTATAAAGTAGATCCGAGTTTGGTTTGTTTATATCCAGATTCAAATTGAATATTATCTGTAGATTTATTTTGGATTCAAATATTGTATATCATAGAGAAAATATGATGAAAATAAATTTTATGAAACGTTAACCAATAAACACAACATTCAGAACATCTTTACTAATAGATAGAATGTAAGTTTTAAATATACATAAGCATATACATTAAAATTGAATAAAAACAGATAGGGGTGGATTCGTGTTGGATCCAATTATAAGTGGATTGAATTTGGATCATCCTTAACCAGATCAAATTCAAATTCAGATAAATGGACACCATTTGTAGCTCTAGTGCCTGGGTCACCCTTTCTTATCATAATAAACACTTATGGTATCTCCATATTTGAATGTCTTGTCATTCACCAAATAAAATGGACTTCTCCTTGGTTAATTCCTAGATCTTCAATGCCTTCTATAATCCTACTATTTTCCACATTCTTATCTCTCCATTTCCATAATAATTATTTAATGATTTATACTAATTTCACAAAACCTTAGGATGCCTATGTCAGTGATTTAAAGCTTGTGCCTCGCCAAGGATTTTATTTTTCAGAAAAGGAGAGAAGTTTGGAAGTAATACTGGAGGTAACTCATATTAGGGTGATACACTGGTTGAAAACTTTGGATATGTTCGCAGATTTCTCAGTAGATGAGTTGCTAAGAAAGTTGAAGGAAATTGCAGAATCAGCCTCAGCAAAGAAGGTCTCAAGTTCTTGTAGGAACCCTCCACCTCATAGTTTTACTAAACTGAATTTTGATGGCAGCAGTATGGGCAACCCAGGGCCCTCCAGAATAGGGGGAGTTATAAGGGATGAAAAAGGGAATCTGTCAGCCATATTTTCTGGTCCAATTGGGGTGGGAGATTCCTTGAGGGCTGAGATACTAGCAGCTCTAGAAGGGGTACAAAGGGCTGAAGACATGGATATCAACAGACTGATCATAAAAGGAGATTCTGAAATTGTGGTGAACTGGCTAAAAGAGGACAACTCTAGGCTTTGGAATTACAACAATGAAAAGGGGGAATTTAAGTGGCTGACTAAGGACCTTGAAGTTTAATGTACTTGGGTAAAGAGAATTGCAAATTCATTGGCAGATGGTCTAGCTAGGCAAGGGGTGAGCAAAAACTCTATTTTTTAGGCTTAATTGTAATTGCTCTTATGTTTTTGGTGTATCTTGGTTGTCTCCAGGAGTTAAGAGGTTTTAGCTCCCTTACTCTGTAATTTTCTCAATAATTAATAAAATTTTCTGTTATTGATAAAAAAAAACAGAAGGTGAAGGAACCTTTGGAGAAAGAGAGAAGCAGGAGAGAGGGCTGTTAAGAGAGGAATTGGAAGATATCTTGTTCAAAGAAGAAATAAGTTGGAGAGAGTTTACTTCCCCCCACCATTGTATTTGAATCTTATACTATTTATTCATTAATGAAATCCTTCTGTTACTGATAAAAAAATGTTGGGCGTCTAGATAACTGTCCAGATCTTTGTAATTTCACTAATCAATAATTAATGAAAGTGTTGCTAATATAAAAAAGTTGGTCCATCTCTTCTACAGTAGGAGTGTCATTCCTTGAAGATTTTTTGGAGGTAATGAATTTGCCTAACACTTCTCTAATACTTTGTGTTCGTAATAAAGTGCTTTTACTCTTACAAAAAGATGGTTGTGATGAACCTCCTTCTTGATGTTTTGATTCTCTAAATTGAGACTTAATTCTTGCATGCTTTGGAATCTTGCCCTTTGTTCTTTTTCCATTGCCCTTGAAGACTAATAAAGTGCTTTTACTCTAACACTTTGTATCCAGTCTAGACACATGATGCATGTGTCCCTATATTAATAGCTCTTTGTTCTACTTCTTCTTCATCATCATCATCATCATCTATATTAACATGTTTAGACTTTACTTGTGTGTACTCATCCTCATTCTCAGCCCTAGGTCTCAATTTCTTCGTATCATTTTTTATCCTTATTCTTCCTGTTTTTTTTTTTCTTTAACTTCTCTTGTTTCATGAGATGATTTTTGATCACTTTAGGAATGTCTAATTGGCATTTTTGGGAAATTAATAACATTTGGATATCTTCTAGCAAAATGATGTTTCAAGTGAGTTACATCACCACCCTTCATTTCTAGTTTATAGTCATTGCACGTTGTATGGAGTCTGTTATTATTATTATTATTATCAATTTTTATACCAAATTTCCATCTCTTTTAAGTGCCATATCAAATGATAAAATGACTCAAGTCCAAGTATCTAAGTATCCAACATCATAATTCACATGCATAAACATTAATTATAAATTTAGAATTTAAAATGATAACAACTCATAAATGATTAGTGGGTGGGTAGAACAGCTAATATGATAGGGGATGGGTTAGCTAAACAAGGGGTATCAAGGGAACATTTATTCTGGGCAGCGCTGTAAACTTTCTTTTCCTAGTCTGAGGTAGTACTTTGTTGTTGTGGTGGAGAGGTACCAGTTCGTGCCTCTCCTTTGGGCAGGTTGTATTGTAATATCATTCTGATTATCATGAATAAATTTTCAATCATTTATCAAAAATAAAAAAAACTCATAAATGATTAGCGTAAGAAACAAACACTTAAAATTCATAATTCATAAACTATCATGTTCACATTCAAATTCTAGTATTAAACTATTAGACTAATTGTCTATTTCTCAGTGTTAAACAGTTCAAAATTAATAAAATTCTCATTTATTTTCAATAACTTGTTACTTGTTCTTGTGATCTTGTCTTTTTGAAAATAATTCATATGTCTACTTATAAAAGGCTAAAAGGAAAGAATCTAATTATCATCACTAGGTTGTCTAGACAATGATAATATTTCCTTATTTTCATATTTTACTAGTAATTCTCTTTGACCTTGGTTACTGATGAAAAAGGGGAGAAAAGTATTCACAAGCCATAGGGTATAGATGAAATATGTAAACAACAAATGAACAATGGTCTCAACCTTAGCCTGAACAATTTGTGATTGGCTATGTAAATCCTGTTCATCCATTGTGCCCTATCATGAACCATGTTTGCTGTCAAAATTTGAGTTCTTATATCATTTCTTATCAGTTCAGACCATGTTTTCTTTGGTCTTCCTATTGCTCTTTTAGTGTCTTATAATTTAACCATGCCACTCCTTACTCGTGTAGTCTTTCTTAATGTTTTAGAATAAAATATTTCTCATTACAATAACTAATTCCGGCTATCTGTATTTCGCACTTTTATATTATTGAATTCAAACTTAGTGGTCAAAATGTATTCACACAACTCAATATGATAATCTAGTGCTGACTGATGGCACTTGTATCTGTCATACAGGTTGTGGCGATCAGAGATATAATACCACCACCCCAACGTGAGTCATTTAATGATGTTTATATTGCATATGAGCTGATGGACACTGACCTCCATCAAATAATTCGTTCCAATCAAGCATTATCTGAGGAGCACTGTCAGGTTATATTTCTGGTGATATTACACCTAATATGTTTAAATGAACATCATTATCTCTTTACCACATTAAATTGTGTATGTACCCATTGAGATAGAAATATGGTTTGCACATATATGTTCTACCTTAATTGATTTCTGAATGGGGCATTGGTGTACTGGTGCACTTAGGTAGAGTGTTTCCAAATGCGTTTTATTAAAGGGATTGGTAAAAGGAACAATCTGTGCACTAATGACGGTATATCCGCTGCCTTACCAAAAGCCATATAAGAAAGAAAGCAAAGAAAAAAAAAGAGATAACCTCTATACATTTGACCAATAACCAACCTATGCCTGATCCTAATTTGGAACTTTTAAACTCATTATGAGAACTTCGAGGTTCAAATCCTTGTTATGCCTTACAGGTTTTAGAGGAGAATAAGTACCCAGTTTTAGTTGGTGAATCTCCTGAAGGTTTAGGAATTGAGATAATTTCAAATAGTGTGTAACAAATTTTTTAAAGGCCAAAAGAAGAGGAATTTATTTTGGAGCATCTGTATAGTATTGGGACTTTTCAGTGGACAATGGTACTATAATGGTGACATAAATGTGATATTGTGAGGAGACTCCTTTGAATGACACCTTTCACTTGTTTGTGCTTGTAGTCTAATCTAAGTGCTCTAGGCTGGCAGATTTCATTTTTTCTACTAATTGAGAGGATCATTTTCTTGGACTTGTTTTTTGACTCTTTCTGGGCTGGCCTTAGATCATTCTCCTGTTATGCTCAATTTGGGTTTAAATTACAAGGATCATCTCCTAAGGAACTAGACTGAAGTGATACAAGCAAATTTATATAGAGAAAGTGCTAGAATGGTTTGGAAACCACCTGCACCGAATAAACTGAAACTGAGCTTTGATGAGAGTTCTTTTGGTAACCCGGAGAGAGCAGGTGTAGGGGGAGTGTTTAGAAATCATCAAGTAGTAGTAGTGGCACTATTCTCAGGACCAATCGGCCTTGGTGACTCAATTCAGGCTGAAACTCTAGCTCTCCTACAAGGTTTGGAACTGGCTGAGCAGATTGGAGCAACAGAACCGGAAATTGAAGGAGATTCACGTCTGGTTATATCTTGGGCAAAATCAGTTCAGCGCCTTGGAAATTCAGATTTGTCTTCAGAGAAATAGACATGTAGTGAGAATGGGCCGAATGGGCTTTAGTAGTTTAATTTCTTTTAAGCTATGTTTAAGTTTATGTACTTTTAGTTATGGGCCTTCTTTTGTTTATTTTATTAGTTCTTTAGTGCTGGCAGCCTTATTATAAGGGCATCTAAGGAATTGTACTCAGATTTACATTAAGATATAAAAGACATCTTGAGTGGATTAGAGAAGAGATCGAATTTTTTTTCTTCTCTCTTCCTTCCTCTTCTTCCACAAGCTCTGCTGAAATCATTCATTCTTCTTTCTTCCTTTTTTTCTTCTTCTTCTTTTTTTTTTTCTATTTTCTGATTTACTGCAAGTGTGTTTCACAACTAGACATACTTGCATGGAGGTTTAATTCTAGTTTTGGATGGATAAAAAGGGAAGCAAATGGATTGGCAGATATCCTTGCAAAACAAGGTGCAGGCAAACCTACTTTACTCTGGGCAAAATCATAATTTGTTGTAATATGGGTCATTACAATGCTGAAACTTCAAATTCTTGTATAAAAAAAAAAATAAGGATTATCTCCACTTCAAATTTGAAATATGAGGTTATCCCACTCTTTAGTTGATGTCAAGAGAGAGATGGACAAACACGTGATTTTCTTATGAGGCATTAGATGAATACTTGTTGAATCCCTCGTGGGAAGACACACATGTGTGGAAAGAGGAGCACAAGGGGTTGTTTACGGAAAAACTCTTTATGCAAAACTAATCAGGGGGGAAATGGTATCACATTATGGTGGGGGTTGGGTGGATGTTTTCACATGGCTTGTGGCTCTAGGTAAAGTTCTCATGGTAGACAATTTAAATAGAAGCAATTTCAGTCTTATTAGAAGTTTGTTGTCAAGTTTGCCAACCTACTACCTTATTAAAAGTTCTAGCAGAAGTTGCTAAGAGGGTGGAAAAAATTCAGAAGAATTTCCTTTGGGAAGGGGTGGGAGGAGGGGAAAAAAATATGGTTAGATTTGGTGAAGTGGGATATGGTATGTAGACTGGAGGGAGAGGGGGCTTGGGTTTTAGAAGAGTGAGATTTTTAACAGGGCATCTATAAAAAAGAGGCTTTTATTAGGGCTTTACTTGGGAAATGGCTTTGGAGGTTTGAGTTGGAGAAGAAAAAAACATTCACTTGGGGGAGAGTGGTGGTGGGGAAGTATGGGATAGTGAGGTTTGGGTGGGAATCAAGGGAGGTTAACTCTTCTTATAGGGTTTGTATGTGGAAGGAAATTATGAGATTCAATCAGGAATTCAAAAACTTAACCAGGCTATTTATTTGGGGATGGTGCTAGGATAAGGTTCTGGGAAGATGACTGGTCCGGGGTTGGTAAGCTGAATGAGTTATGTCCAAGACTGTAGAAGGGAGGAAAGTTGGGTTTGGGTGATCGCCAGGTATGATAAATGTGGTAAGAAGAGTTTGGTCGGAGGAACAGGGGTTAGTGTTGTTGGTGATCAGGCCTCTTTCGTGGAGTATGGCGTCGGCTGCTGCTCACAGGTCAATAGTGTGCCTGCAGCGATTTGCTCCCGTTCTGAGACTAGGATTGCAGATGCGATTTCTGAAGATTCTGGTTATGGAATCAAAATTCCAACTTCTTTGGGTACCGTGGAGGTTGGTCTTAAGGGGTTGGGGAAGTCGGAGGAGGTTTTGAAAGAGGTTGGGAATGGAATCACTAGTTCAGATGCTGATTCTGAGGCTGAAACCGTGACCGGAGAAGAGGAGATTACAGATGGTGGCGCCATTGCTGGTTATGAGGAAGAGAGTTGTTTGGAAGACAATTATTGCTTTAAGGAAGTGAAGGTTGGGAGGCTGGGTGTAGATCTGGGCCGAAGAAGCAACTTCGAGAAGGAGAAGGAGGCACCTTCTGAGGTGACTGTCAAAAAAATGCGTAGTTTAAGAAATCATAATGTCTTGCATGTGATGAAAATCTTTTCCAGGTTGAAGCTTGGTCTTGTTGGAACAGGACCAGCAAAGAATTATAAATGGGTCTATAGGAGAAAAGATACAAAAGGTAGTGGGTCTGCTGAACCTGATCTAGAAGAAAAACAGTCCAAATAGAAATAATAAATCAAATTAAAAAGAAGAAAAAACAAAAGGAGACAACCAGAAGAGAAGAGGAAAGGGAATGATTGAGAAGAAAGGGTGAAAGAGAAGAGTTGTTCGCACTTCTTCTCCTCTCCTTTCCCTAATCCTTTTCATTAAAGAATAATCACTAATAATCAGAAATTACAAGTAAATCCTTAGTAATTACAAGTAAGTCCTTAGTGGGGTGGCTGGCTAATTAAACATAGGAGAAACTAAAGTTAACAGGTCCGTTTAACAAAACAGAACATAAACATAAAATTAAAACACAACTGTGGGCTATGGGCCATTCAATCCATCTTCTCTACACTCCCCCTCAAGCTGAGCATAGATGTCAATCATGCCCAGCTTGCCTGTATCATGTTGTAGCTTGGCCTTGGAGATTCCTTTGGTAAGAATGTCAGCTAACTGTTCTTCAGATGTAATGAAGGGTATACAAACTTCTCCATAAGCCACTATTTCTCTGATGAAATGCTTGTCAACTTCAATGTGCTTCGTTCTATCGTGTTGTACATGATTGTGGGCAATGTTAATGGCGGCTTGATTGTCACAATACAGCATTAGTGGTCTGTCATACTCAACACCCAATTCCTCTATCAGGGATCAAAGCCAAAGTAACTCAGAAACTCCATGAGCCGTAGCTCTGTACTCTGCCTCAGGTTAAGATCTAGCAACAACAAATTGTTTCTTGCTTCTCCAAGAAAYAATATTACTTGCCACCATACTACAATACCCTGAAGTTGACCTTCTATCATCAATGTTGCCTGCCCAGTCAGCATCTGTATAGGCTTCCAGTTCCATGTGGCTATGTTTATCAAAAAGAATACTTTTCCATGGAGTATTCTTCAAGTAACATAAAATCTTCTTCGCTGCTGGAAGACTCCGACGCGACTCGGGAGAGCTCAATCGCAGAATTTGTGGTGAGAAAAGTGAGTCGCGGACCCCCCTATTTATATCCGCTATGTCCGAGGACCAACGGTCGAGATCGAAGCAATCCAATGGCTCTTAGGAAAACCGGCTGCGCGACCCCCAAGGGTAAAATCGGTTTAGCGCATTTTTTGACGTTCGTAGAGTTTATAAATTGTGTGACGTTCGCGCGTAAACCAGATGCGACCTGGGTTTTTCTGGTTGAGCCGGGTGAGCGGACAAGTCCGACCCATGATTCATCTGACAAGCTGACCGAACCTCGGACCAAATCCACTTGGCTCGCCATGAACTCCCCGCACCGGGTCAGGACCCCTGGCTCGGGGAGTGGGGGGCAATTGATGTAGGGTGATTTGGCCCAACCTAATAATAGGGGGACACGTGGACACGATCTAATTGACAGGACGACAACTCATCCCGACGTACCCAAGTCTGCGACGAACCGAGCTCGGATAACCGAACCACCTCGGAAGCAAGTCCACTTCGGGACAAGTTCACTTCGGGACACGATTGCATCAAGATCACCTTGGTTATAAGACACCTCGGCATTCGTACTAGGACGGACCCAAGGGGCACTAGTTCGGGTAATATTGACCGACCTCTACATGTTAACCACGAAGATATCGCCACCAGATTCCACGCTTTACGGGATCACACCTCGTAATTGCTAGCCTTATCTCCCCCATCCGGTGGAAGTGATATGCCTTACCGGCTGGCAGCGTTATTTCCTGCTAATACGGATACGGGCCTCATCACGGCAAGAATCCCAGAACCACTCCGAAAAACCCGCGAGGACTCCAGTACATAAAGACCCCAACCCTTTGGGGGAA